ATTTTGTATTTTTCTCTGTCTAAACTAACAAAGAAGGACATATTCGCGATCAGCGTCAAATAGCGATTCTAGAAATGTATGTTTAAGCTAAAAACAAGAACTGCTGAAACTTTGACCTACCCGCGCCTTACAAAATCAGCTATTATAATCCCATCGTGAGTGAATCAGAAAAAGATATTCTCATACGCTGAAAAAAAGAGCAAAGCAGAAAATTTTGCATATTCTCAAAAATCACGTTATTTCGAGAAAAACGACCCTCTTCACGTTTTTCGACCAGAAAGAATTTTTTCATAAAAAGCTGAAAAAAAACTTTTTTACTGAAAGTTCGAATTGTCGGCATGTTAGTATTTTTCTCATTTCTAGCATTATATGATTATGAGATTATCAACACATTTTCTTGCGAATTTTAGTTTTTGTCATGCGTAATATTTAACTTTTCTATTCGCAGTTATGCGAACTTAGAATTCTTCATGGAATGTTGAAAATTAGTTTAGGATTTTTAGTCATTTATTCTGTAAATACACATACTACTTTTGACTCAATCGACTTTGTTTATTCGTTTTTCATTTTCAATCATCTCACACAATGATCAAAAAAGGATGATGATTTGATTCAAAATCTGGCTTTGATGCGAAGAGAATATTTCTGCAGAAAAATACATGGTGAGCTTTTAAAAAAAGTTAGTTCATGTGATCTAAAGATAAGACACGTGAGAAATATAAATATTATTAGTTTTCTTGTAAAATCCTTTAATTTAATGTGAATTTGTCCGTTATGAAGACTATAACACTAAAGAATGATCTAACAAGCAGATATAGGATCGGATACGATCTACGTTAAATTATTTGATCGAATGAAAAAACGAATGAAAGAAAATAATATAATTAAAAGTGTAATCTTGAGAGTATTTGTCATTCAATGAGTTCTTGCTTACTCTATATCTCCAATGGGCATACTATCCATCCACAATTTATGCATAAGTTCAAATAAATCATTTGATACAGACACTTTGTATGGAGTTGGATTTAAATCACGTTTATGATCTTTTCTCACTGATTCAATTTGATTTTTGGCATACAGACGAATCTCTTCAAGTGATGGTAAAGGTATTTTAATTTCATTATCTGCCCAATATAATTTGTGAAGATTTAATATCGATACTGGAGTAACAAAAGCACGTACTTTCTCAGAAAACGGATGACGGCTGAGTATACGTTGATTTTTTTTTGGTGATTCTTCTTCAACTTTTGTTAACAGGTCACATAATGCTTTACCATCCTGACCAAATAGGCGATAAATATTTTTGCGCCCAGGTATTGTCACTTTTGCCTTATCATGGCTCACTTTAATACATGAAGTACCATTGAGCTAAAACCCGCATGAGCGAAAAAATAAACATTTCAAGTTCACTGCTGTTCTTATAAGAAAAATAATAAAAGAGACTCGCCCTACCTGCATGAAGTCTTAAATCATCCTACTCCGAAACCCATTTATCCTGTTATTAGTGCGTTTTTCAAATCGTTATGACAAACGAAGTTCTGTTTATTTAAATTTTTTTTAAAATAATAGCAAAAAAAAGATCACTTACGAAATGAGGGTAACTCACTGCTTAATAACTCACCAGACTTTGTGTTAAGGATTCCCCATCCCCGAAGCCAAAAACCTTTTTTATTTCACATCCGATTTCGATGGCGTCCACAATGACTAATGCTTACTGTCTACCTAGCTTATGCTAAACACTTGAGATTACAAACGTGATTCTAATGTACTTTGATCGAGAATCACTTTTAGTTATGATTGTAATTAAGATATTTTAGAAAAAGCTATGCTGGGATATAGATTAATTATTAATCAATTCTAATTAACGCCGATTACGGACAGTTCAGCGATTTACATTTTTATTTACACATCAATAGTTGTTTGAAAATAAGCACACGATATACCGTTCGAATTAGCTTTTCAAGCGCTACAAAACTATATATTTCCTTTTCAAAAGAATAGGATTTTGACTGAGTTATGAATGTTTTAATTTTTGATGAAAATAACCCACAATGGGTTATTTCATCTAGTACAAGTTTTTACTCCGTTCCGACAGTTTCTTCTGAAAATTAACATTGCATGAGATTCAGCGTGTTCGATAACCTAGGCTTTTATGATCTGAGAAGGTTCCAGAATGAAGACTAGAGCAGTACAAAGCTTCGGAGAAAATGTCCAAACCTCTTGAACTGAACAAAGTGAAACCTTTGCCTAGATCTTATTTTGTAGAAGACACTTTGGACTATCTATCCATGAGGAAAAATCGATTGCTTGCTATGCAAAATTTTTGAGTTAGAAACTGGTTTTGCAGAGATCCTCTGAAAAACTAGTTTCAGAAATTTGTTCGGAAAAGGTTTCTGCTTATGGAAATAAATATATATTAAACTGTCCTCCTTCGAATGACGAAAATCACAAGTCTCTACCTTTTATCATCGTGAGTTATTCAAGAAACAACTACCTGTTTCATATTTTGGGATGGATAGTAATATTTTTTTAAGAACGTTGCCATAGGTCGTGGCTCAACGAAGTGAGATAGAGCAAAGTTTTTGCTGCCAACACTCTTTCTTAGGTGCCAAATGGGGTACTGAGTGTAATACTTTTTCAGTGTAATGGAAAATTTTTGAGAAAAATTGAATTTTAAGTTTTTTAATAATTTCAGATTTCTAAATTTGATTTTTCTCAATATTTTTCCGTTGCACTGAAAAAATTACTACACTCACGAGAGAACATATGTAACTGACCGATCGTTTTTTTAATGAAATCTAGTGGAGTATAGGTAAAAAATAGTGCTGAATCCGAATATCGGCATGAGATGGGCCGCTAGGCCTTGCAAGTATCGGATCTCTGGGAAACCAGGTTTCCAGAACCAGAAACTTTTTATTCCAAAGCTTTTTTCTGATCTGTCACGATTGTAGAGCACATCGAGAATCCTATAAAAAACTAGTTTTCAGAATTTTGGAACCCTTCCACAGCCCGCCAGAAGGATTTTTCTTCTCTTTTCCGTACGCTGAGGGTTTTTTGAGGGAGCAAAGACACTTTATAAAACCCCAAAACTAGTTTTTTATAGGTTTCTCCATGGGCTCTACACTCGAGACAGATCAGAAAAAAGTTTTGAAACAAAAAGTTTCTGGCTCTGGAAACCTGGTTTCCCAGAAATCCGATACTTGCAAGGCCCAGCGACCCGTCTCATGCCGATATTCGGATTCAGCACTATTTTTTACCTATACTCCACTAGATTTCATTAAAAAAACGATTGGTCAGTTACATGTTCCCTCGTCAGTGCACCATTTGGCTCCTAAGGAAGAGGTTTGCCGGCAAAAACGTTTCTCCATCGTGCTTCATTGGACCACAGTCAATGACAAGGCTCGTAAAAATTATCAGTTTTCTGAAGCATCGACATTTCAGTTAGATCCCGTTGGTCGACTGGGAGTCAATCTTACCATTAGAACAGTCTTCTTTAATGAACAGTGAACGTTTTAAAAAACCTCTTAAATTTCCGTAAGCTTTTAAAAGTTGGGAAGAATGTGTCTGGAAGGTTCAGGCGTCATAATATATGTAAGTCGACATGGACAACAAAATGATGTAAAACACCATCATGCTCCCCCCAAAGATAAATGTCTTAGCTTTAAAATAATAAAAAACGAAGGTTTTCGATGAATCGTCTAGGAGGAGATGCAATTTTGCTCTGCTAAAATCATGTTCTGAGAGACACGTTAAACAAGTGTGAAGAGCATAGTGACTGCAGATCTACGGTTCAATATAGGAGTGTGATACATATTTATGAACCAAAAAGAAAGCTCTCTCTTATAAGAAAAAACCGGCTGAATTACGTTTAACTTTTTAAAGATATATATAATGTGACGACGGGGACGCGATTGGCATCTTTCTTTCTTTTATCCTCATAGAGGTTATTTGACCGCTCGAAAATCTAATGAATAACTGCCAGAAATATCAGTTACCATGATTACGGTAAAGGACACTAGGTAAACATCTTCACTACTGAAATTGACGCTATTCTATCTACGGGAAAAATTGCTGAAAATTCGCTGAAAACCGAGGTGACGGACAAAAAACATCATAAAAAACTAATTCTATTGTGGAAAGCGAGCGAGTTTCTTAGTAAGAAACTCTAGTTCAATCAACTTCTTCTAAAGATTGAGAGATGCATTGTAAAAAATAAAGTGTGCTAGAACTTGTGTAAATGATCTAGATGATCACTCAACATCAGAAAGTGTATATTTTCCATGGCAGTCTCAGTGTGTAAAAGTTTAAAGTATGTTAAAAAAAGATTTTGTGGTTGAGCTTTTAAGTGAAAAACGGGTAGAAAAGGAAAAACTAGTTTGAGAATCGTGATCAGCATGTGTAGGAATATATATGTATACTGTCATTTTCAACTAAAATGGACGACAAAATAATAGAAAACAAAAATAATCCATTAGATGAGATTCAAACGATTGACCTATGATTTTCAGGCTACAGCGCAAAGTGTTTAGACAACTAGACTATATCATGGATTTTGGTCTGTAAGTTACACACTAACCAGCGAAACTCTGGACGGTCATTGGGCTTTGCTTCGCGTTCACTTTTTATGTCATTTATACACTTTATTTTTTACAGTGTGGAGCTTCAGAAATTCTATTGTCACTATCAATTTCAGAATTCCTCGAATTTTTTGTTCGAATTAAACTTTTAATTAGTCAAACAGGCTATTGACAGGAGAGAAACTTCAATCCATCCCGTTTGCATATTCTTTTTATCGAACTTACGTGAACTAATTTATAGACACATCCTAATGCGGGCTGCTTTTGGCAAGTCACCAAATGTGTACCGATACCAAATGAATCAATTGAATGACCTTGTTTTTGTAATGATTTCAACGTTTCTAGAAGGACAATAAAACCATAACTGATAACATCTCGTTTTCCAAGGCGTTTATTTGTTCTCACCTTCATTAATATCGTTACTAGCCACAATTCTAAAATGTTCCATATAGGGTATATTGAAGGTTGATGCGGCTATTTTGAATTTTGTTCGTACCTCTGTGCTTAAATACGCTAAATCACCGCTATCCAAACGTAAGCCAACTGCTCGATATGAACATTCGTGTAAAGCTCGAGCAACAGCTAGAAAGAGAGGTGGAAATCAATTAGATAATCACAGATGTAGAATGCAGAGACACTGCATGAATACTGCAAAGTCATACAGGAGAGCAGTCGAGTTATTCTTTGGAGAATGTACCACATTTACATCAACTTTTTGCCAATAGTACGGCACTTTCAGAACCAGTAGAACTGATCACGATGATCACAAAAATCATCTTAAAATCTTTTCAAAATGACCGCATGGAGTTCCCCGGACAAGGCACCCGAAACACTCATCAACAAAATTGTTTTTGCCATTTCTGAAGATGAAAAAGTCAAACTGGTTTTATGAATACTACTCACCAATATGAACATCGTTTGTAGCAAAAAGAAATTTTCCCAGTGTTCTGGTCTTTTAGGAAAAACTGTAAAAAAACACGAGTTTTGGTGTTTTTTCCATTCAGATATCTCTATGAAGAGAAAATGAAAACTTAACATCAATGTATGATTTAGAATTCCCAATCTCTTATCTACCTAATGGTAAAAATCACTGGACTTCAGCTGTTTTCTTGAATGAATGGGAGACCAAACACTGACCACTAATCTTCAGTTTTCACCAACTTTCGCTTCCTTCCGCTGGCCCACTGCAAATCCTACAAATCTATATCCATTGTTGGTGTATATAGTGAGTACTTAAAAATTCTGAGATATTTGCTTTTGACTGATGTTTTATCTATGAGAAAATTGATCTCAAAGTTGAGAAAGCTTACAATAAGACTAAATTCATATGAAACCTACCACGATATACAAAACTGTTGGTGTCAGTCACAAGACCTACCTCACATTGTAGAGATCGAAATCGGATGGCAAGAACCACAGGTCTACAAGTGAGTTACAAAAAAGTTCCTGGCACTTTACTCTCAGAGCAGAAAATCGCATTTGCATCAGTTTCCAGTGAATTTGGCTTAACTTGTCAAACGTCTCCTAATCGCAATCTCTATCATAGAACAGTGAGCTTGGTTTGCGATGGCAAAACGCATTGGACCCTATATATTTCAATGAAGAAAACTTATTTCTAGACATCTGGGTATTTAGAAAACTTTCGCTTTACTACTGAATTTCCGATCCGTATCGTATTTTCTGTGGGAGTTTTTTAACCTTTTCGTGCCGGGGTCCGTATATATATGGGCTGAGCTCTCAGCCAAAATAACACTCGGCACGAAAGGGTGAAAGAACATCGCAGAAGCGTAGTTGACATCTCATTTGCAGAGAACTAAACAGGCTATCAGTGTAGTGGCAATTCAATGAAGTACTTGAAAAACTTCCTGAATGAACTTCACGGTCGTTAGGATTTCTAGTAAACATGGGTTTATTTTAGTAGAATTTGCTGTGGACCAGCGGAAGGGAGCAAAAGTTGATGAAAATTGAAGATTAGTCATTTTTACCATTAGAGAGATAAGAGATTGGGAATTCTAAATCATACGTTGATGTCCCATCATCTTTTGTTGCCGAAAGCTCATTTTTCTCACGTTTGTATTAGACCCATGTACCAAAATCTAAAGTGTGCTGTTATCTATGGTGGCATAGAATAGGCATGCACCGGTTTCGGTTTTTAACCGATTCACCGAAACCGGTGAATGCCTAGCATAGAGTCTGGGAGCAGTTGAATTGTCTACGCTGATTCTCATAATAATTTTAATTTTCAGAACAAAGTTCATAGTCTTATACAACGTATGTCAGGTGGAATAATTCACTTTCGACTATTATTACGGAAAAGTTCATAGCTCAGTGAAAGACGATCCAAAACACTTCAGTACATGAAGATGAACTATGTCTACACAACCTGATTCTGTATCTGATCAGCAAAAAAACTGAAGTATTTCTGAAGGTCTCTAAAAAAATTTCAAAACACAGATATATGTCAGTCAAAATGACAAGAACTGGTAAAAAAGCGTGAAAACTAGGGTCTTTAGTAGGGCTACACTTATCATTATCAGTCGTGAAATGAATAGATGTTTTTAAACAGTAGACAGGGAGTTTATCTCATACTGTGAATTAAAATAGTCCCAGTACAGGCACCATTTCGAATCTGTCGTTTTTATTAAGACGCCATAAGACATTACATGCAAAACGCGTAACTCTGCTACCGGAATCTGTGTGCGTTACCGTTTTTTCTCTTTTCGTCTATCTTATAATATTCGGAAAGAATATCGTAGAATCCTGTAAAGCGTCTTGTTTTGTAGAATGAAGTGCGTTCTTCAAAATCCACCGCTAGCTCAATTCAAAATAATTGACGCTTTTTATGCTATACTTAAAATACGAAGAGCCCCAAGAACATTGTCTTTTGTTTTTAGGGCTTTTAGTATTTCGATTATGACCGAAAAGTCGTCAATTATTTCGGATTGAGCTAGTAGTGGATTTTGAAGAATGCACTTCATTCTACAAAACAAGACGCTTTACAGGATTCTACGATATTCTTTCCGAATATTATAGGATAGACGAAAAGGGAAAAAACAGTAACGCACACAGATTCCGGTAGCAGAGTTACGCGTTTTGCATGCGTACATACAGACGATGTTTCACATCTATAATTATTATTGAGATATGCTGAAATGATTACGTTAGCCAGGACATTCCGAACACATGCAATACACTAAAAATCAGGGCAGAACGACATTAAGACTTCAGAATTTGTTTTAATACATAATAAGATTCAGTCTTTTATGATTTAGGCGAGTATAGTCTACTCCAAAAGAGAATTGTGACTATTGAACGCTATCTATATATTTACAATAGATTGAACAGCCTTTCTCTAGTTCAGAAAATAGGAATTTGTTTGATTTAATCCACTTTAAGTAGTGAAGCAGTCAAATAGAATAAAACACAGAAAATCGAGAAGCACAACGGAAACCGAAAGCGTAGAGTTGGTTTTCTTAGGATTACTTGTTGATAAAACCAAAATGGAAGTTCCCGTGAGTTACATATGGTCAACAGAAAGGCTACTGTTATTGAAACCTTTATCAAGAATAACAAATACAGAACGACGAGAATCACAGACGGCATCTCGTGACAAGAATTGCAACAAGTTTAGTAATCAACTTTGCTACATTCCTACTTCTCATATGTGGTTAACCCTTCCTTGATCTTTTCAAATTTTTAGGCATATTTTCTCTTTTGCTCACCTAAAAAATTTGGAACACCCGATCTGATTACGTCATAGGTATCGACCAGTGCCATAAAATTCGTTGGAAATGCAATGGCGTACGAGATGAAAGCTGCTAATTCACCACGATGAGCTTGGTTGGGATCACATCTTAAAACAGGAGCAATTTCATATAAATATTGTAAACATAATTCAACAAATGGACGTTCTTCATTTGTTATTCGGTCATGTAAAACTCGTGTTTTTAATTCTTCAAGATCTGAATGTGAACTCACGTAAGCATGGGCATGAGTACCTGAACGTAGAAAAACAAAGTTAAGAAGTAAGGCCATTTTCGAGTTAATATTATTAGAAAATTATTACTAAGCAGTTGTGAAAATGCTCAAATGTTTAAAAATGACACAACATAATATAACGTCAACAATTGGTGCGTTTAGTATGATTAGTGCTTAACACAGATTCATGTTCCTGACTATTTAGCCAACCAAACTATCTCCTTTCTTGCTACATGTGGTTACTTGAGTCAGCTCTGAAAGTACTGACAAGGATATTTACCAATAGACCAACTGAAAACACAGGAAACGAAGTTTTTTATGAAAGTTAGTTTCTTGTTTTTTCCTGGCTGATTTAGTGCTGAGAGCACATACCAGCTTTTCAAAGAAACTTGATTGTCGACCGGTGTAGTCTCTTCTTATTTCAATACGCAGAAGAAGAGCAAGAAAAGAGCAGAGGAAAAAACGGAAGTATTATTAATTAAACGGAACTTCATGGGCAGTAAACATCTAGGCATATTACTCCAAGTATTCATAAACATGGATTTATAAAATTTTTATATGGGCATACGCTTCAAAAAAGCGTGGACATAGATGTCTAGTTTGGGTTTCATCCGGTATTGGCGCTTGAAAACCTTTTTAAAAAAGATTTTGCTGATCAGAATTTTAAGGGCTTTGTTCAGCTTCGTCGTTTATGGGAGCTGTTATGTATAAATTAATCTGTATTTCATCAAAATGACACTGATGCATGCATAAACTTTTAATAACCTTGAATAGGGATTCCAAATAATTTTCCCGCTAAGACATTTGACGTTCCGTTAAAACCTCCCATGTAACAGTATTTTGATGCGCTTAAGCCTCCGTCTGGTCCTTGTGCACGTCTTAAACCAAATTCCAGCAGAATTTTATCATCACCGACTTCTAAACGAAATCGAGATGCATTTGTTGCCACTAAAGTCGCATAATTAATTAATGTTAATAAAGTTGTTTCTAGTAGTTGAGTTTTCAGGATTGGTCCTTCGACACGTAACAGTGGAACACATGGAAAAACTACCGTACCTAAAAGACAGAAAAAGAGTAGTCATATTCAAAATTTGTAAAATTTAATAAAGTGAACAGTATATGAGGATGGTATAGCTAAAAAGTATCCTGTGCAGTATAGAAAGAAACGACTACAACGACTGAGCTGCTATCTATCAGGTCTACACACACACAAAAGGTATGTGTCGTATGTATTGCAAAACAAGACTCTGCGTGCTTAGTGCGACACTTTCGAGAAAACTATGCAAATCAGTAGAAATGCAATTTTTCGACTTTAAAGTCAACTTCGGTCGTTTCCGATAATGAGATGAGAAAACTCGATAAAATAGTCGGTGATGTGGAAAATATTTCTTAACAGAAATAAAAACTTAGATGAATCTTGTAGATTCCCATTAGATCGAATAAGACTAAGAGAATTAGAAGACAAAGCGCAAAAAAAAGTTAAACTTCAATTCTGATGTGGAGGAACAATGTTTTAAGCTAAAATTATCCTAAATCGCTGCGAAACTTTTTGTCTGTAAACTCAACTTTGGAAAACTCTTCCTTCATGGTGAAAAATCAGAAATATCAACTTTTCCGTTAAGGGGGAGCTCCCGCCCCCCACCAGGTTTTGTAAAGGAAACTTCGAAGTATATGTCTCAACAAAGCTTTCAGTTCCCGGATTAGTGGACTGGCAAATTTTTTTTTATATCCCGATCGAGATATAGTTTGAAACTATATCCCAATCAGGATATCAAAAGTTTTATTTTTAATTTGCAAGAAAATGATAAATTTGAATTATATGGCAGCTGAATATTTTGCCTTTTCTTCTTCTTCTTTATTGCTCGTCTCTAACGTTCCTAGTAGTGTCTTTTGTTTCCTCCAGCTGAAAGACGATAGATGTGAAAAGCGATTAGGTCAAGAGTATATCCGATCATGAGCAATAAAAGATTAACCTCTTATTTCTCGTTCGTATATAAATTCGACTAAAATTTGTTAAAAATTTGTTTTTTCCCATTTTTGATCAAACACAACAGAATTCGATGTAGCTTTTCGAGCCCTTTCTAATGGTGATGTCAATTTTACCCCAAAACGTCGTCATTTTTCGACGAACTTTCGTGTTTTATATCCCGATTGGAATATAAAGCAGACTTAAATTTGTTAAAGGTCTTTGTTCGAAAAAATAGCTACTGGGTGCTTGATGCACTTTTGATCAAACACAACAGAATCCGATGTAGTTTTTCGAGCTCTTTCTAATGATGATGCCAGTTTTTCCCCAAAATGTCATCATTTTTCCCTTAATCATTTTTATGACGAAATTTTGTGTTTTATATCCCGTTCGGAATATTAACTTTTTTCTATATCCTGATTGGGATATAGCTACATCCCGATAGAGATATATATCCCAGTCAGGATATAGGAGATGCTCCCTTACTGTCTAGCGTAGTTCGATAGAGAACATTAACTTGTATAAGGAGAAACACTTTTCATCATTCCCGAACGAGCAGTCTCTAGCGAGAACCTTTTTTAAAACTGTCCTTTTTTGGTTTTTAAATTTAAAAAATACGAAATTTTAAAACTTTAAAAACCGTAAAATTTAATTAAAAAATCAAAAAAAGACAGTTTTAAAAAGAGTTCTCGTTAGGGGCTGCAGAATTCGATTCTGAACAACTTTTTTGACAACAGAGTTTTGCTTCAAAATGATTGCTTCCAACGAAACTAGCGGTAAGGTGTGATGAAAAATTCTTTGCTCACGTGAGTCAAAAATCAGCGATAGCTTCAACTTTTGGATGTTTCTTCAAGCTTTCCCAGTTTGTAGAGAATACTCCGAAGTACATGTCCTGCAGTTTTTTCGGCTGACTGACATTATCTGGCTGAGAAAAAATTAATTACTTAAAAAAATGACGTTAAATTTTTTAGCACAGGACTACTATTAAAAAATTTCCTGGCCGTTCCTCTTTCATCATACAAATTTGGTTCTCATCTAGACCGATAGCAAAATATGCGAAGAATATTTACTATGCGGAAGGTAGCAAAGACTTTTGCTTTTCCTTTCTGTTAATAACTAATTAGTACTAATTAACGTTAATTTAGTCTGATCGATTCCGTTTTTGATCCTGATTCTAATATGATATTTTTTTTGCATGAAAGATCAATTCTGATGAAGAAAATTGAGAATTACGCGAAGAATTCTGGCTTTGCAGAAACAATTATATTGTTAATATACCCTAGACACTTATTTCTCTATATTATATATATATATCAAATTGTAGCTTGAGAAATTCTCTATCAGATGAGATATTGTATGAATTTTTTCGTTATGCCGTTATCTTTTAAACGGGACTTTAAGCTAATAGAGAAGACTAAATTAACATTAATTAGTACTAATTGGTTATTAACAGGAAGGAAAAGCAAAAGTCTTTTCTACCTTCCGCATGGTAAATATTTTCCACACATCTCTCTATCGATCTAGATGCGACCTGTGTACAAAATACGTTTTTAAATAGACAAAAAAACGTATTTTTTACACACATATCGAGTCGAAATAGATTTGGCTGGAGTTTTTTTTGCAGACGAGTTGAAAAAAAAAATCTTTTTTGCAAGTTACTTATAAGCATGAGGACATAGCTAATTCGAAAATATCTCTGCTCAGGTCTTTTCCGTTATCGAGATAGGCGGCATTATCCGTAAAATAACTACCTTTTCTGCCAGCTATTTATAAGCATACCTTGGTGAATAAAATAACCATAAGTAGCTCGAGTACAGTATAGAGACATGTTGCCGGGTGGAAGCTTACTTTTCATTGGTAGAAATCGTGAAAAAAGCAGAAGTCCGACATGGTTAAAAATGGGAAAAGTCTAAAATTTGGAAAGTGTCCGCGCTCTCCCCGCCCATAGAAGAAGTTTTTATAAAATTACAACTGCCGGAGAATTTTAGTACAAAGCTACAGCTGCCTAAGTAATCAATTTCACCAAAAAATCTTGCCTTTGAAGCAATAAATACGAGCCAGTTTTTAGGAAATAATGCCTCTTATCTCGGAAACGGAAAAGACTTGAGCAGAGATATTTTCGAATTAGTCATGTCCTTATGCTTATCAGTAACTTGCAAAAAAGATTTTTCTATCTATTTCGACTCCACATGTGGTTACTTTTTTTAGGGCGTTTTCAGTGATGCTTATATCTCCACCAAAACTCATAGAAAAATGCTGGGAGACGTCTCATTTTGAAGAGAAGGCCTTCTTCTATCAGACCATGCTAATCCCGAATGTGATCATGGGAGTTGCCTTTAGTCGTTTGAAGATCCGGTTTCTGGAAAACCAGGTTTTCAGAAACTCTGAAAGATAACCAAAACCTTTCTTAATAAGACATGCGTGTAGCCCGCAAATTTCTGATTGAAATGAGACGTCTCCCAGCTTTAGATGACCTTTCTTTGCAAAGTTATAGAATTTACAAAAAATGTTCATTATTAGCTCAAAGCTACAGAAAGAAAAAATTAATTTAGAGCTCTTCTTGTAAATTCTATAACTTTGCAAAAAAAGGTCATGTAGAGCTGGGAGACGTCTCATTTCAATTAGAAATTTGCAGGCTACAATTATGATTTATTAAGAAAGGCTTTGGCTATTTTTTTTAGAGTTGAAAAATGATCAAAACCTGAAGCCTGAAAAACTGGTTTTTCAGAAAACCGGATCTTCGAAGAGCTATGGGCCAGTTCCATGATCATATTCGGAATCAGCATGGTCGATAACTTATAACTCACTAGAGTTTGATCAAAAGCGTTTTATCACCTCGAGAGGTTCCCTCGTCGTGCATAAAATTTAGAAAATCAAATTTGCTACATTTTATGTTCTACACGCAACTCTGGAAAATGCTTTTTTCAAACAGAAAACGCCATTTTTAATATTTTTAATTCAACAAAATATTTAAAACAAAAATTTAAAGGTAAAAAGAATGAAGTCAGAGTAC